ATGTCTGGAGCTGTGAAGGTGAGTGTCTTATCTATTGCCAGGGTGGGGGGGGGGGTTGCCAGTGTATGGGGGGGGCGGTGGTAGTGGAAGACTCTCTTGGGTGGGGGTGGAGGGTTGAGGTGTTGTTGGTCAATGTCAGGCTCTCTTCATGGGGAGAGAGGTGTTGGTCTGTGTCAGGGTCTCTCCTTGGGGGGGGAGGCAATTTTCGTATTGCCCAGGGAAGCACACCACTGCTTGGGATGCTGGTACTGATACACATACAGACTGGAAAACCAGGGGTCAATGTTTATTCTTTTTTTGTAATGCATTCATTTCATACAAAGTCTTTTTAGTAAAGGAGCAGAAAGGGGGCCTTTCCCGGAACACCAGTGCAGGGAGCCCCCCAACATACCTTCCACTGCCAGGAAATGAATTGGGAAGGTTGGAGCTACCTTATCTCACCACCTTCACTACGTGGCGTAGAACCCTTGTATTCAGTCTGGAGGGGGCATATTTTGGCCCATGTTAGTAGAAGCTGAAGCAGGGGCGGACTGACCATTTGGAAACTGGGTATATGAGAGGGACATGGAGGTGGACTGAGAGACATGGAGGGGTATATGAGAGGGACATGGAGGTGGACTGAGAGACATGGAGGGGTATATGAGAAGGACATGGAGGTGGACTGAGAGACATAGAGGGGTATATGAGAGGGACATGGAGGTGGACTGAGAGACATGGAGGGGTATATGAGAGGGACATGGAGGTGGACTGAGAGACATGGAGGGGTATATGAGAGGGACATGGAGGAGGACTGAGAGACATGGAGGGGTATATGAGAAGGACATGGAGGTGGACTGAGAGACATGGAGGGGTATATGAGAAGGATATGGTGGTGGACTGAGAGACATGGAGGGGTATATGAGAGGGACATGGAGGTGGACTGAGAGACATGGAGGGCAGGGGCGGCTGACCATTCAAGAACTCGGGCACTGTCCGAGGGCCCGTCGTCAGTAGGGGGCCCCAAAAAATGCCCCTGCAGGGGCGGACTGACCATTTGGAAACTCGGGCACTGCCCAAGGGCCCGGGGTCAGTAGGGGGCCCCATGAGATGCCCCTGGTTCCTTTTTCATAGGCTTTTTTGAGTTTGGGCAAGGACCCAGGGGCCCCATGATCCCCTATTGCCCGGGGGCACCATGAGTTGTCAGTCCGCCCCTGAGCTGAAGCTATAGGTTTTCCCAGGTTACCGTGTCAATTATTTTTTTTTTACAAGAGTAAAGAGACATTTTATATAAATCTGGAACTGGCATGATAGTTTTCGGTGCCAAGAAACCAGCAATATGCAAAGTTGTAATTATATAGAAGCAACCTGGAAAAACCCAGTAATTCAAAATGTACCGGTAGTTTATTATAAACACACCGATCTCCAGGGAAATAGGAAATGAAATAGTTGGCACAAATGTTTTAATGTCTTTAGTTCATCATTATAGAGGATACTTCTCAAACAGGGTTCCATGGAATGTTTGGGTTCCTCCAAAGGTTGGTATGGGTTCCTTGAGCTGTGATCAATTTCTAAGTAACCTTTGACACCATAGATTTTTTTTTGATACCTGTAAGAGAGAATCTGCACTGGACACCAACATAAGGGGCAGTGACGTCACTATGGGGTCGCGGACCGCACTCGGGTGACACTCGCCAGAGGGGTGACACCCAGAGCTGGATTAACATAGGGGCACAGCAGATCCTACTGCTCTCCCTGCTCAGTGTCCCTAGGGGCAGCTGGTTGCTAAAACTGCACACTGAGCACCTGACAAGCCAGCAGCCAATAGACAACTTTCTTAGAAAAATGGCCAGTGGCATCAGCACAAGCCATGGACAGCACGGCCCATCTAGAGGTCCACCTTCATGCATCTCAGAGCTAGCAAGCTGGTCACGTGACAGAGACTCTGAAAGAGATGCGCAAACCTGAGAGAGAAACAGACAGGAGCATCACTGGAGGGGTATATGAGAGGAACATGGAGGTGGACTGAGAGACATGGAGGGGTATATGAGAGGGACATGGAGGTGGACAGAGAGACATGGAGGGGTATATGAGAGGGACATGGAGGTGGACTGAGGGACATGGAGGTGGACTGAGAGACATGGAGGGGTATATGAGAGGGACATGGAGGTGGACTGAGAGACATGGAGGGGTATATGAGAGGGACATGGAGGTGGACTGAGAGACATAGAGGGGTATATGAGAGGGACATGGAGGTGGACTAAGAGACATGGAGGGGTATATGAGAGAGACATGGAGGTGGACTGAGAGACATGGAGGGGTATATGAGAGGGACATGGAGGTGGACTAAGAGACATGGAGGTGGACTGAGAGACATGGAGGGGTATATGAGAGGGACATGGAGGTGGACTAAGAGACATGGAGGGGTATATGAGAGAGACATGGAGGTGGACTGAGAGACATGGAGGGGTATATGAAAGGGACATGGAGGTGGACTAAGAGACATGGAGGGGTATATGAGAGGGACATGGAGGTGGACTGAGGGACATGGAGGTGGACTGAGAGACATGGAGGTGGACTGAGGGACATGGAGGGGTATATGAGAGGGACATGGAGGTGGACTGAGAGACATGGAGGGGTATATGAGAGGGACATGGAGGTGGACTGAGAGACATGGAGGGGTATATGAGAGGGACATGGAGGTGGACTGAGAGACATGGAGGGGTATATGAGAGGGACATGGAGGTGGACTAAGAGACATGGAGGTGGACTGAGAGACATGGAGGGGTATATGAGAGGGACATGGAGGTGGACTGAGAGACATGGAGGGGTATATGAGAGGGACATGGAGGTGGACTAAGAGACATGGAGGTGGACTGAGAGACATGGAGGGGTATATGAGAGGGACATGGAGGTGGACTAAGAGACATGGAGGGGTATATGAGAGAGACATGGAGGTGGACTGAGAGACATGGAGGGGTATATGAAAGGGACATGGAGGTGGACTAAGAGACATGGAGGGGTATATGAGAGGGACATGGAGGTGGACTGAGGGACATGGAGGTGGACTGAGAGACATGGAGGTGGACTGAGAGATATGGAGGGGTATATGAGAGGGACATGGAGGTGGACTGAGAGACATGGAGGGGTATATGAGAGGGACATGGAGGTGGACTGAGAGACATGGAGGGGTATATGAGAGGGACATGGAGGTGGACTGAGAGACATGGAGGGGTATATGAGAGGGACATGGAGGTGGACTGAGAGACATGGAGGGCAGGGGCGGTCGACCATTCAAGAACTCAGGCACTGTCCGAGGGCCCGTGGTCAGTAGGGGGCCCCATAAAATGCCCCTACAGGGGCGGACTGGCCATTTGGAAACTCGGGCACTGCCCGAGGGCCCGGGGTCAGTAGGGGGCCCCATGAGATGCCCTTGGTACCTTTTTCATAGGCTTTTTTGAGTTTGGGCAAGGACACAGGGGCCCCATGATCCCCTATTGCCCGGGGGCCCCATGAGTTGTCAGTCCACCCCTGTGCCCCTGGTACCTTTTATAGGCATTTTTGGGTATGTTTTGAGTGTGGGCAAGGACACAGGGGCCCCATGATCCCCAATTGCCCGGGGGCCCCATGAGTTGTCAGTCCGCCCCTGATGGAGGGGTATTTGAGAGGCACATGAAGGTGGACTGAGAGACATGGAGGTGTATATGAGAAGGATATGGAGGTGGACTGAGAGACATGGAGGTGTATATGAGAAGGATATGGAGGTGGACTGAGAGACATGGAGGGGTATATGAGAGGGACATGGAGGTGGAGTGAGCGACATGGAGGGGTATATGAGAGGGACATGGAGGTAGACTGAGAGACATGGAGGGGTATATGAGAGGGACATGGAGGTGGACTGAGAGACATAGAGGGGTATATGAGAGGGACATGGAGGTGGACTGAGAGACATAGAGGGGTATATGAGAGGGACGTGGAGAGGAGAATAGAGATATACAGGTAGAGTCCTGTAGATATCTATTAGGTTTTGCATTTTCTTCAGTATTTTCAGAAAAAAAAAAAAATTATTGTGGGGGTTGACACCATGTTTTACCTAACCAGGGGACACCAACCCTAGTGACACCACTGGTAAAGGGCGTTCTTTCCAATGACCAACAATGTAAGGAACATTCTGCCCAGTGACTACTAATGTAAGGAGCTTTCTAACCAAAGTGCTGGTTTACTTTCCTTCAGACTTTAGGGGGGCCGAAATGTGGCCGGTGAAATTGGAAAATGTCTTGGTCCCAGTGGGTGTAAACAGGGCCCCATCATTGGTGGCAGTGAGAGGAATAGTGCCCCATCATTGGTGTCAGTGGAAGGAATAGTGCCCCATCATTGGTGTCAGTGGGAAGAATAATGGTCCACTGTTGGTGTCAGTGGGGAGAATAGTGCTTTTCATCAGAGGGAAGAAGAGTGCCCCATCTGTTCTACACAAAAAGGGAGAGGTAAATGTTCTGTCCCAACCAGTAGCTAGGCATTAAAGTGGTTGTAAACTTCAGACATCAAATATGAACAAAGCATACCCCTCTGTAGTGTGTACTTGTATCAACCCAGAGCACTAAGTGCCATTTCTGCCTGCTGCCTCCTTCCTCTGCTATCAGCATGAATCACTTCTAACAGGTTTCTGCTGCGCAAGAAAATACCAAAATAATGAATCTAAAAGGTGCGCAAAACCAATTTCTCTGTAGTGATCAATACAAAGTTATATGTGAGAAAAAAGACGAAAGATGGCTACAGTGCAATTCTCTCATTCTGGGGGGGTTGTCTATAGAAGTCCTCCCAGAACGTAGCTCACGTGTTCCCTGGCACGTTCTGTGAAAGCTGTCTCCTTTGGACACAGCTGATCATAGATCCCAGTTAAGAGCCAATCACAGTGGTCATTTCCCATGTGACCAACTGTGTCCAATCAGAGCTGATCACATGTAAACAGACTTGCTGGCAGGGGCGGACTGACAACTCATGGGCCCCCCGGGCAATAGAGGATCATGGGGCCCCTGTGTCCTTGCCCAAACTCAAAAAAGCCTATGAAAAGGTACCAGGGGAATCTCATGGGGCCCCCTGCTGACTCCGGGCCCTCAAATGGTCAGTCCGCCCCTGCTTGCTTGTTATCAGCAATCTTTTCCTCACACGCTTTGTCTGTGTAAGGAAGAGACTTCCAACTCCTGGCAAGGCTGTCAGCACTTTGTTTTCACTAATCATCAGTGCTCTGATGACCAGTGCAGCCCCAGCAGTGCCCATCAATGCAGCTTATCAGTGCTAATTAGTGCCGATCAATGCAGCTTATCAGTGCATATCAGTGCCACCTATTAGTGCCCATCAGTGCCACCTTTCAGTGCCCATCAATGCAGCTAATCAGTTCCCATCAGTGCCACCTATCAGTGCCCATCAATGCAGCTAATCAGTTCCCATCAGTGCCACCTATCAGTGCCCATCAATGCAGCTAATCAGTTCCCATCAGTGCCTCCTATCAGTGCTGCCTCATCAGGGCAGCTTCATCATTGCACATCAGTTCAGCCTCATTAATGCCCATCAGTGCAGCCTATCAGTGCCCATCAGTGCAGCCTATCAGTGCCCATCAGTGCAGCCTAATCATCGCACATCAGTGAAGAAGAAAAATTACGTATGTACAAAATTGTATAACAGAAACAAAAAGTTGTTTTTTTTTCAAAACTTTTGCTCCTTTTAAACCCAATGGTGAATAAATACCAGCAAAAGAAAGCTCTATCTGTCTCAAAAGAACAATAAAAATGTAATTGCATGACGGCGCAATTCTCATTCAATGTGCGATGGTGCTGAAGGGTGAAAATTGGCCTGGGCAGGAAAGGGGTGAAAGTGCCCGGTACTGAAGTGCCAATTCTGAAGGTTCTTTTTTTTTTGTTTTTTTTTTGGAAAATAACAAACATGTCTATACTTACCTGCTGTGTGCGGTGGTTTTGCACAGGGCAGCCTGGATCCTCCTCTTCTCGGGTCCCCCGCAGGCTCTCCTGGCTGCTCCCTCCTGTTGGGTACCCCTACAGCAAGCTGCACCCACTGCTCTGTGTGCCCATTCACTCTCATTCAGCTCCGCAGAGTGAAACTGCAGCTCTCTGCCCCCTGATTTCTGAAAACTCAAACACCGTGCAAAAATTCTGTACTTTGAATGGCTGCAGAGGAGACTGCAGATAAATGGGTGCAATTTATGTTGGAGGATTTGGATTTGTCTCATCTCTGTGTATCACTTGAGGCCAGTCACTTCACTAGGTATATGTAAGGGTTTACATCCACTGTAAGCCCGGGTTCACATATGTGCGGTGCGGTATATCGCATGTGATTCGCACAAGAACCGCACCACATTCCTCTGCAAATCACATGTGATTTGTGTGCGGTGCAATCGGAGCCATACATTTTGTATGGCTCTAATCGCATCCGCACCAAAAACGTGCAGGACCCTTTTTTTGGTCCGCACTAGAATCGGATCGCATGAGTATTCACACCTACTGTATGCGATCCGATTCTGCACATCACACCGCGTTTTGCAGACCGCTTTCGGGGTGTTGTTAACTGAACATGCACACCCGCAGAAGTTCACATGAATGGGGAGCGATTCTGATGTGGTACGGAATTCGCACTGAAAACGCTGCGAATTCCACACCGCATCAGCGTGAACCCGGGCTAAATGTGCATAACACATGAGCTAGTATACATTGTACATGCTACCATGCCACTGCAGTACTTGCTCTCTTTTTTTGTTTTGCCTTTTTTTTTTGTAAAATTCTAGTTAATTCTTTGCATGGTAGTGATTTACACATGATTATAAATGCAACATGTCCAAATATATGAGTGGATCCAATTTCTGAAGACTGTGAAGGTGCTTTCATGTCAGTGAAATGAGAAAGAACCGTGTGAAATTTCTATCAAACAAGTGCATGACCTATTTAGCTGTAAGTGGTTTTATGTTCCTGATGTGCGTGTTTTTATCTCAAAGACGCACAAGTGGTTTGACAGGACTTATGAGAGCTGGAGCACAGATTTTGGAAGGTAATTAGGTACTTGTCTGGAGGAAAAATTAAGTACACTATATAACTTTTTTATTGATGTTGCACCTGGAAAATGTTATATACAGTATACTATTTATTGTAGTTATAACATACACACAGGGGCGGACGGACAACTCATGGGGCCCCCGGGCAATAGGGGATCATGGGGCCCCTGAGTTCTTGCCCAAACTCAAAAAAGACTATGAAAAAGGTACCAGAGGCATCTCATGGGGCCCCCTACTGACCCCGGGCCCGAGTCTCCAAATAGTCAGTCCGCCCCTGTATACACATATTTTTATACATATATATATATTTGTAATGTACAGCGCTGAGCGAACTTTTGGTGCTTTATAAATACTGTATAATAGTAATATATATATGTATATATATACAGTGGGGATCGAAAGTTTGGGCACCCCAGCTAAAAATTTGTATTAATGTGCATAAAGAAGCCAAGGAAAGATGGAAAAATCTCCAAAAGGCATCAAATTACAGATTAGACATTCTTATAATATGTCAACAAAAGTTAGATTTTATTTCCATCATTTACACTTTCAAAATAACAGAAAACAAAAAAATGGCGTCTGCAAAAGTTTGGGCACCCTGCAGAATTTATAGCATGCACTGCCCCCTTTGCCAAGCTGAGACCTGCCAGTGTCATGGATTGTTCTCAATCATCGTCTGGGAAGACCAGGTGATGTCAATCTCAAAGGTTTTAAATGCCCAGACTCATCTGACCCTGCCCCAACAATCAGCACCATGGGTTCTTCTAAGCAGTTGTCTAGAAAACTGAAACTGAAAATAGTTGACGCTCACAAAGCTGGAGAAGGCTATAAGAAGATAGCAAAGCGTTTTCAGATGTCAATATTCTCTGTTCGGAATGTAATTAAGAAATGGCAGTCATCAGGAACAGTGGAAGTTAAAGCAAGATCTGGAAGACCAAAAAAAATATCAGACTGAACAGCTCGCAGGATTTTGAGAAAAACAATTCAAAACCCACGTTTGACTGCACGATCCCTCCAGAAAGATCTGGCAGACACTGGAGTTGTGGTACACTATTCCACTATAAAGAGATACTTGTACAAATATGGTCTTCATGGAAGAGTCATCAGAAGAAAACCTCTTCTACGTCCTCACCACAAAAATCATCGTTTGAACTGTGCAAATGAACATATAGACAAGCCTGATGCATTTTGGAAACAAGTTCTGTGGACCGATGAGGTTAAAATTGAACTTTTTGGCCGGAATGAGCAAAGGTACGTTTGGAGAAGAAGGGGCACAGAATTTAATGAAAAGAACCTCTGTCCAACTGTTAAGCATGGGGTTGGATCAATCATGCTTTGAGGTTGTGTTGCAGCCAGTGGCACAGGGAACATCTCACGAGTAGAAGGAAAAATGGATTCAATAAAATTTCAGCAAATTTTGGATGGTAACTTGATGCCATCTGTGAAAAAGCTGAAGTTAAAGAGAGGATGGCTTCTACAAATGGATAATGATCCTAAACACACCTCGAAATCCACAGGGGATTACATCAAGAGGCATAAACTGAAGGTTTTGCCATGGCCTTCACAATCTCCTGACCTCAACATAATTGAAAATCTATGGATAGACCTTAAAAGAGCAGTGCGTGACAGACAGCCCAGAAATCTCAAAGAACTGGAAGACTTTTGTAAGGAAGAATGGGCAAAGATACCTCAAACAAGAATTGAAAGACTCTTGGCTGGCTACAAAAAGCGTTTACAAGCTGTGATACTTGCCAAAGGGGGCAGTACAAGATATTAACTCTGCAGGGTGCCCAAACTTTTGCAGACGCCATTTTTTTGTTTTCTGTTATTTTGACTGCTTAGAAGAACCCATGGTGCTGATTGTTGGGGCAAGGTCAGATGAGTCTCGGCATTTAAAACCTTTGAGCTTGACATCACCTGGTCTTCCCAGACGATGATTGAGAACAATCCATGACACTGGCAGGTCTCAGCTTTGCAAAGGTGGCAGTGCATGCTATAAATTCTGCAGGGTGCCCAAACTTTTGCAGACGCCATTTTTTTGTTTTCTGTTATTTTGAAAGTGTAAATGATGGAAATAAAATCTAACTTTTGTTGACATATTATAAGAATGTCTAATCTGTAATTTGATGCCTTTTGAGATTTTTCCATCTTTCCTTGGCTTCTTTATGCACATTAATACAAATTTTTAGCTGGGGTGCCCAAACTTTCGATCCCCACTGTATATAGTTAGGTCCATATATATTTGGACACAGGCACAACTTTAGTTTTTTTCAGGTATTTACAAAAACATATTCAAGCTATAGCTATATAATGGATATGGGCTGAAAGTGCACACTCCAGTTTAATTTGAGGGTATGTACATCCAAACTGGAGGAAGGGTTTAGGAATTACATCTCTTAACAGTAGCCATCCCCCCTTTTTCAAGGGACCAAAAGTAATTGGACAATTGAATCAAAAGCTGTTTCATGGCCAGGTGTGGGCTACTCCTTTGTTATTTCTTCATCAATTAAGCAGGTAAAAGATCTGGAGTTGATTGTGGGATTTGCATTTGGAATATATTGCTGTGAACCTACATGATGTGTTCAAAGGAGCTGTCCATGCAAGTGCAACAGGCCATTGTAAGGCTTCAAAAATGAAACCAATCCATCAGAGAGATAGTAGCAACATTAGGAGTGGCCAAATCAACAGCTTGGTACATTTTGAGGAAAGAAGAATGCACTGGTGAGCTCAGCAACATAAAAAGGCATGGATGTCCACAGAAGACAACAGTGGTGGATGATCGCAGGATCCTCTCTATGGTAAAGAAAAAGCCATTCACAATATCCAGACAAGTGAAGGACGCTCTCCAGGAGGTGGGCGTATCATTGTCAAAGTCTACAATCAAGAGAAGACTTCACGAGAGCAAATACAGAGGGTTCTCCACAAGGTGCAAACCATTCATAAGCCTCGAGAATAGAAAAGCCAGATAAGACTTTGCCAAAAAACATAAAAAAAGCCCCCCCCCCTTTTTCAAGGGACCAAATGTAATTGGACAAATGAATATAATCATAAATAAAATGTT